GTGCCACTCGGGCATACCTCACAATCACTCTTGCCACTCAGGCATACATCACAATGACTCATGCCTCCCAGTCACTCAGCACTCGGCACTCGCACTCAGTAGGTACCTGCGCTCACTGGGGGTGTGTACAGACTCCGGAGGGGCTCCTTCAGCCCAAGCGCTATAATCTGCACGGACAACTCACGTGCTGCACGGACAACTCATGAGCTATAATAATAAAGTATGCTGCAGGCGGACAGCCCCGATCCACACTCTTCCTCACAAATCAGGCTCTCGGCCTCACTTAATCATAAACCTCTCAAGCCACTCGGGCATTTCAGTAAAACAGGGCAATCGGCCCAAAATATTTATATGCATCAAAATAGAGTCATAAAACTAAGTTATGATATGCAATGAAATGAATATGACTGAGTATGAATTTTCAATTTAAAATAAATAATTCACAGCAATATGACCTCTGTGGGTCCCAATAGTACTGACACATAGCCTCAATCATGATTTTTAATATGCTTTTCAGCTTAATTTCTCTAACTCATAAAACCGCATGGAAAATGCCAAGATTATTTAACTACAAAATTTTACAAAAACAATTATGTCACAAATTTTATAGTGCACGCCCACACGCCCGTCATCTAACATGTGCGTCACCTCCCAACAATTCACATAATACATATATTCAGGGTTCATACCCTCAACTCCAAGATTAGAAGAGTTACTTACCTCGAACAAGCCAAATCCAATGCCGAGCAAGTTAAACAATGCTCCTGAAATCCCATTATGCGCGTATCAACTTCCAAACGGCTCGAATCTAGTCAACAAAATACTAATATTTTCTATATCAAAATACTAATATTTTCTAAAAATCCGAAATTGCGCCCCAAAAATCATCCGTGGGGCCCACGTCTCGGAATCCGGTAAAAATTATAAAATCCGAACCTCCATTCAACCACGAGTCCAACCATACCAAAATTACTCAAATCCGACCACAACTCGGCCTTCAAATCCTCAATTTAAACTAAGAGGGTTTCAAACTTTTCCAATTTAATTCACCAATTAAATGATAAAAACAACCATGGATTTGGGTAATTTAACCAATATTGAGTTAAAAACACTTACCCCATTGTTTTCTCTGAAAACCGCCCAAATTTCGCCTCAATCCGAGCTCCAAATCGTTATAAATGGAAAATGGGACGAAGTCCCACTTTCTGGACTTAAACTTTCTGTCCAGACCTCTCTTCTTCGCGAACGCGACAGGTCCCTCGCGTTCGCAAAGCACAAAATGTGCTTCCCAACATTTGTTCTTCGCGAATGCGAGACATTGCTCGCGAACGCGATACTTTACGGAGCCCTTCTTCGCGAACGCGAGCTCCCCTTGGCGAACGCGATGCACAACCCAGCTCCTCTTAGCGAACGCGAGACCACCTCGCGAACGCGAAGAGTAAATCCTGCCTGCCTGAGATTCCTCTTCGCAAACGCGATGAAGGAAACCAGATGGTGCATCAGAAAAATTCCAGCAGAGTTCCAAGTCTAAAATCTAACCCGTTAACCATCCGAAACTCACCCGAGCCCCTCAGGACCTCAACCAAATATACCAACAAGTCCTAAAATATCATACGAACTTAGTCAAACCCTCAAATCACCTAAAACAACGCTAAAACCATGAATTACACCCCAATTCAAGCCTAATAAACTTTGAAATTTCTAATTTCTACAAACGACTCCGGAACCTATCAAATCACGTCGGATTGACCTCAAATTTTGCACACAAGTCACATTTCACATTACGGACGTATTTCAATTTTCAGAATCAGATTCCGACCTCGATATCAAAAAGTCAACCTCCGGTCAAACTTTCCAAAAATTCAACTTTCGGCAATTCAAGCCAAATTCCACTACGAACCTCTAAATAATTTTCCGGACACGTTCCTAAGTCCAAAATCACCATACGCAGCTATTGGAATCATTAAAATTCGAATCCGAGGTCGTTTACATATAAGTCCGCATCCGGTCACTATTTTAACTTAAGCTTTAAACCTTGGAACTAAGTGTTCTAATTCTTTCAAAAGCCTCACTGAACCCGAATCAATTACCCCACCAATTCACACAACAACTATAAAGTACAATTTGAGAAGTAAATGGAAAAACATGATTGTAATACTCAATACGACCGACCAGGTCGTTACATAATAATTAGCAATAAATTAAACATGACAAAAGGTTTATGTTCAACACACATTATAATCACGTAAACGTGCCAAATATTATGATAAGAATGAGGAACACACGAAATGAAAAACATTACTTAGAAGTTTAGCACTATTCGTTTTAGTTCTGAATAGTACATTTTGAAGAATAGCTAGCTTTCGTTCAAAAATTAAACCAGAAGATAGGTCAAATACATAGACAACAACAACAACAACCCAGTATAATTCCATTAGTGAGGTCTGAGGAGGGTAGTGTGTACGCAGACCTTACCCCTACCCTGGGGTAGAGAGGCTGTTTCCAAATGACCCTCGACATCCTTCCCTTCAAAAACTTCCCACCTTACTCTTGGGGTGATTCGAACTCACAACCTCTTGGTTGGAAGTGGAGGGTTTCCCACCTTGCTCTTGCTCTTGGGGTGACTCGAACTCACAACCTCTTGGTTGGAAGTGGAGGATTTCCCACCTTGCTCTTGGGGTGACTCGAACTCACAACCTCTTGGTTGAAAGTGGAGGGTGCTTACCATCAGAGCAACCCACCTTGTCATGGGTCAAATACATAGACGACCCTCTAAATTGGGCATAAAATTCAATTTAGATACCTTCTTTTAGTTGTGTCTATTAAACATTTGATTTTCTTTTCAAGGTCTATTCGCGTACTCATATACATATTCCTTTATTAATTATAATTATAATGATAATGATAATTACGCTGATTAACTACTTTTGACTTTTACAGTTTCGATAAATTAAATCTCTACATAAATAGTTGGTCGGATTTACTGTTTAGTTTTTTTAGCCGATATACATAAATATACTGATTATATACGGTTATACACATATTATACATGTATTAGCATATATAATACATATGTCGTCTATCAGAGGCGGATCTAGAATTTAAACTATATGGATTCAACCTTTAAGATTTTTTGTATTTAATTCATTATGCTTTTAAAGTTATGAATTCACATCGAATATTTGACTTTTTTAATACATAAATTTATGTTATGCACCGAAAATTATGGGTTCTAATTAAGTCAATTTTTACAGCTATCATTGCGTATTTAAATACTCAAATCAAACTTCACCAAACAAAAGAAAAATCTGGTATTGACTACAACAATTGATCAAATCTCGCATGTCCCATCTGGTCTGAATTCTGAACCATGCTTGGACCTTCAAAGCTACTGACAATGGTAGTGCAAAATCAGCGACCGCATGCACCATCAAAAGGGTTGTGTTGAAGTTCCTAGCGATGCACATTTTAATTTAACTATAGCTATAATATCTTTCTTAAGATAATATTTGTAAAATTTATTAGAATTTCAGCATATACATGAATTATATTAATCCGTAGTAGCAAACTGTGTCTAAGCGGAACCATGGAGGAGATTCTCCCACAATTCAAGTTTACATGTTCGACCTTCTTCTAGCTTTAACATACTACCTCTAGCCCGTTTCAATTTATTTGACACTTCTTACGTTTTTTTCAATCTCGAAAAAAGGATACCTATTTAATAATAATAACTTCAAATTACCAATTTTATATTTAGTGAGTCAATTAATAACCATATAAATATTTATAACTCATTTTAGAATTTAGAGTATACATTTTAAAAGTCTTATTTTTTTTTTCTAAACTTTGTGCTCAATCAAATACCATTGAATAAATTAGGAGGGAGTATTAAATTCAGTGTTTGTTTCTTCTTTCACTTTATAGGTCACAGTGTCTTCTTCCATTCCATTGCAAGAAAAAATATTGTTAATGCCCAGAGAGAAGCAGATCTTCTGCCTCTTACGTTCCCAAGTTATTCTGCTTTGTTTTCCCAGGTTTTACGCACGTCATTCAAACAAGGTTTTAACTTTGTCTTTTCTATTGCTGTAGTAGGACAGTTGTTAAGGAGTATTATATGAATATCAACCTTATTACAGTAGTAGTTGTAGTAGTAATCATTAGATTTTTTCCATTAATTTTGAATCAGTAAAAACTGAAAAGTGACACAAGTCTTCATCGGATCAAAGTCTGAGGAACTTTGGGAAATACCGCAGACGTCGTCAAGAGCACTTATTACGTTAACAGTGCACTATAACTCTTACTCATATCAATGGATGCACAATTATAAAAAAAGAAAAATTAAATAATATGTTTGATTTAAAAAACAAAAATTAAAATAATTGTAAGAATCCTGAAAATAACGAATGTTGATCCCATTTAGCTACAGTATGCGTGAGTCCTAAATATTAGAATTAATTACGTAAAAGTTCAAATAAAGAAAGATTTAAACTAAAAAATTTAATTTATTTTAAATCCCTAAAATTTAGAAAAATAATTAAAAGACTATTTTGTTTAGTATTAAATTAATTTTTAAAAGGTAAAAAAGATAAATAAATTTTAATTAGAAGCTTCATACTTTTAGTATAACACAGATACGATGGAAACAATAAATGTAATTATTTTCAGATTCAATTTATATTTTCGACGAAGAATTTTTATGTTATGTTTTAATCTATTTTTAGGGCAAATGCATATAACTAGAAGCAATCACACTTGGATCTCAGGGTAAGTGAAATGTAATTCCCCACTTCTAGACCTCCAATAGTTTCTGCTTGAATTGAAGATGGCATATATCTTATGACTCATGGTAGATGAGATCTTCACGGGGTTGGATTTAGAATTTTAAGTTTTTAAGTTCTAAATTCTAGAAAAAATAACTTATTGGATTTTGAATAAATTACGTATACATATTCAATGTATTTCATAACACAAATATAAGGTTTTGATCAAAGTTACTGGATTGTGTCAAACCCTTAGCTAGAACTTCAACTCCGCCTCTGATCGCGTTCATGAAAGTCCAATTTGAGAAGCCTTGTTAGAAAGGACTGTGACTTTGTTGTAAGAGATAGCTGAAGTCATTTACCACCTGGCAAACGATTCTAAAGCTGTGACAGTGTGACATATATATGTATGAAGATGTTATTAAGCAAAGGATTTAACTTATGCGTGCTAAATAAAATATAATTGATTTCTACAGCATCAGTGAATTTTACATTGTTATAGTAGAGGATTTATTTTATTTTTTATATACACAGTATCAAATATGTCTTATTTCAAAGAGTTATCTATTTTGTATGTCATACATATAAACCTAAGTGACAAATGTTTGTTAAAAAAAAAGATTTTGTGTTTGTTGGTTTGGAGTAAAGACTAGGTAAAACCGTAAAACTCAGACAATCAACTTATCTAATTGATTAGTGATTTCGATAGGTGATAAGTTATTTTGTAATTAAATCATTTTTAATTGTCGAGAAGAAATCTTCTGATTTCTCCATCTTTTCTCAAATTATTTAAAATACAATTTCACAAACATGTATCAGTATGGGAAACATACATAAGAAAATACTCGGTAGACTTACAAGCATGGACATTCCAGCAGTAGTGTAGTTAGACTATAGATATATATGCAAGACATATGTGTCATGTTAATTGACTAAACATCCAATGTGAGTAAGTTTTTACCTAAATATATATGTGAAAAAAATTATAAATTTACTAATACATATATTAAATTTTAAACCCATCATTACAAAAGTCTAATAGTTCATCGGTGAGAATATAAAGTTTACAACCCATTAAATCTAAATTTTTAAATTTGCCCTATACCAAAAACCACATTCCATACTTGTGGAGAGAGAGAAAACGGAGAAAGAAACAAAGCACCTATATGAAGTATCAAACCTTAAAAACAAGAAAGTTTAGCTTACACTGTTCCCATATTAGATTTGATTGCTATGACTTGAGTCCCATTGTTTCCAGCGACCTTGAAGTTCTGGAAAAAAGAACATTGAAATGATATTGAGTTTAAATTTTATGCACCGATGGTGAAAAAAATATTTATACAATTAAATCAATTGTAAGATAATTATTATAAATTTTGAATTTAAATTATATACATCGTCAATATAAAGAATTATTTATACTATCAAGTCACCCAAATAATATCTATATGTAACCTTTCTTAAACTGTAGAATTTGTAATTTTCAATTGTAATCTTGAAAATTAGACAGATTACCCTCTACAACATGTAAAAGTGGCCTGATGGTGTAAAACTTCTTACACCGACAGTGTATATAACTTAAACTCGTAATTAAGATAAGCATTAATTAATTTATAACCTGAAGTTGTGCCCTTGTCCAAATTCTCAGTGTTGAAAGAAGAGCTACCATAGTAGGTAGTTGATGACTCTATAGGAGCAGAGAAATTTGGGTGAAAACTAGATCTGATCAACTGAGAAGTTGACCTCTGGCTAGTTTCAATTCTACTCCACATTTTCTTGATTGTTCTTTCCCTAGCTCTTGCTCTTGCCTTCGCCCTTGACTCTCTTGCAACTAGGACAAGATCTGTTGCCTCATCTTTTACTTCTTTCTTTTCTTTTGCTCTTTTGGGCTTTCTTTCCGAACCCTCATTTGTTGTTATGGCCAGGTCTTCACACTGTGAAGCACAATCCTTGGCGGTCTCATTGCAGCTCGACTTCGTTGCTCCTACATAAATAAAATAGAATATTTGAAATATTGTCACTAGCTAGAAAGGACTATACATCAAAAAGCATCTTCATTTCTAGAGCTTAAAGGAGGTTTTCAAAGTTAAAACAATACTATGCTAATAGAAGCTGACTAACTTCAAGTGTGTAGTTAGTTCTCAAGCGATTCTTTTGGATCAACAACAATAACAACGACAACAAACCTAGTGAAATCTCACAAATGAGGTCATGAGAGGGTAATGTATACGGAGTCCTTACCTCCATCTTATGAAGGTGGAGATGTCCTAATTTTCGAGTTCTAAGCAGGACAAGAAGGGACTCGCGGAGGGTGGGAGAGCCTTCCCTAGAAAAAAACCTAATAAGACTCATTCTAATACTGAGGATTGGGATCGAACCTGCAATCTTTGGGTGATGATCCTGATGAGTTGACCAATTAGCGAGCTCCTCAATGGCTAGTTTCGAGTTAGTGAAAAGCCAATCAAGGGTTTTGCTTGGTTTGTCAAAACCTAGTATTTCTTGAAGATCAAAGAACTTTCGAGCAATGGCAATGGACAATCTCACTCTCCGATCTCTTGGACCTTGAGATGTTAAAATTTTACTAAACCTCTCTCTTTTCTTGGGTTTCTTGTTGATGGGAAATGACCTTAAGGAATTATCACTATGATTTTGATGGTAATTTGGAGAGTTGATAATATTGTTTGCTGAGAGTGTCATGTTCTTAGCAAAGTGATGAGAAGATAACTGATTTTGGTAATGATGAAGGAGAATTTGGTTACCATTGAGGCCAAGAAAGGGAGAGGAGCTGTGAAAGGATAATGAAGGGTGAGGAGGAGGGTTTCCAGTACTGTTACTGGCAGGGAACATTTTGGTCAAAGGAAATTTAATTAGGGTTGTGGAATTTGGATTCCTTCTCTCTCTAAAAAATATTGAAGAAACAAAAATCTTTTTAAAGCAAGTAATTACAACAACTGCACACAAGCTCCATGCATTAAGAGTGTTTTGGCTTTCACCAAAACAAAGGATGGAGAATTCTTTCTCCTTTTTTTGCCCCCCTAAGGCTAGGATTGCTAAACTGAGAATGTGTTCTAAAGACAAGAAAGAAGGAGCTTTTTAAATCAATCGGTGAGACAACTAGGGGAAAGTTAGGGGAATTCTCGCTTACTATATCGCTTCATTTAAGTCTATCTTAATTTAACAAACAACAAGAATAATACGTAATAATTATTATCATAACAAATTTAGTTTTTCCAGCATGAAATGTTTTCTATATTTTCTAGTGACATATAAATCTATCATAAAGATTAAAAACTCATAGCAAATATTATAGACCTATAAAGTAACCGCACAAATTAATATGATTAAAATTAATTCGAACTCGGTGAGTATCAATATACTTTTTTTCTTTTTTAATCTGGTTAATTCATAAAAGAAAAGCTATAAGTTTCTATTGATTTTTGGCTATGGAGAATATCTATTAAACGTAGTGGTTCTGATGATCAACTTCAGAAACTTGCCCTAAGGAACCAACAACGAAAGTGATGGAAACTCATAAACAATTATTGGATCTCTATCTATAACAAAGGCACACATTTATGGACAAAGAGAAGAGTAGATTCATTAGGTTTGAAAAATTGAAGAGACTCCAAATATAGAATAATTGAAGAAGCTAGGGCTGGGATTAACCCCGTGAGCTTTATGTTTGGACTCAGCGTTTAAAGTGGACAGATATACGTACTTTTCTCTATCGTCCTACACAAAAAGACAACCTAATTTCTGTTTGTTCTGACTGGCTTCTTCAGATTGGGAGCTCATCACTTCAATCAAATTACTAATGTGATCTACTAACTTAGCAACATAGCCAAAATTTTCACTAAATAGTAAATACTTGAAGAAGTCAAGGAGATACAACATGTATAATTTATACATAATTTTTTTTTATCTATCTATATAGTGTAATTTTCGATAAAAGAGTATCCAATTGACACTCCTTATACAAGGGTGGCTCCGCCACTGCACCGTCCCTCAAGGGCGAATGCAATGTGGGAGTTACGTGTTTAATTGAACCCATAATTTTCGATGCGAAGTAAAAATTTATGTGTAAAAATTTATTAAAATTGAAAAAATAATAGATATGAATCCATAAATTTAAAAATATAATAGGTTCAATGTTAAGAAATTTCAAAGTTGAACCCATAGAGTTTAAATCCTGGATCCGCCTCTATTGTCCCTAATTTCTCCGGAAAGAAAAACCCTAATGTCTCAGTCTTTCACCCATAGCGAAATCCATAAACATTCCATTAGGTTCTCTAAAAGAAAGCCCTATAGAGGAAATGTTTAATCAAATACGTTTTTCTTCTATATTTGATATATGGGGCATTCAATTTCATTTCTAGTCCTTGTACTGGTATAGTAAACACAACATTTAACAATTTTAATTTCCAAATGAACAACTTATTCTATTTCATTTTATATGATATTCTTTTCCAGTTTAAAAGGAGTGATATTCGTTTATATTCAAAAAATTATTTAACTTTAAATTTTTAGTTTTCCCCTTAATTAATTGCTAGTATATATAGCCGTAGAAACGTCAATGGTGGGCTTTTCCCACTTTACTCTCTCGATTATTCGAATCTCAAATTTTAAATGGGAGGTGGATGATTTCAACTAGGTTAACCTCTTTTTTAAAGAAAGGTATATACTGTTTCTTGTTTTAAAAAATATATGGATATCATAGTTTTTGTATTTTCTTAAAGGATAACAGTTTGATGTGTTATTCTCACCAACAGACAAACGGTACTTAGGGGTGGCTGGTAGGGGAAATGCATATTCTTATAATTGTTCTACTAAGCCTTTTAATTATTAGCGGTGCCAAAAAATTTTAACAAGGTAATTTAAAAAAAATAGAATTCTATACCTAAGATTTGAACTTGTTATCTAAAGCAAATTTTGAACTAAACTTTTGCTATTTACATTAAAAGTTTATTTTTATGTTAACAACTTAACGGGATTTAACAAATTTTATAGGTATACAAAATTTTATTTTCACCTTGTTTGCACAATAGAGTACTTTCATACTACTTAGATCTCTTGCTATTAAACCATAGTTAACGATGATATCCATCTCTCTTTTTTTTTTTTTAATGAATTGGAAAAGCAGAGATTAAGCATTCGAATATGTTTTTATTTTTGGTCAAAAGTTCCCTTTAAGGGCTATATAGATGATACGACAAAAGGATTATTGAGCATTCAAATATGTGTACATCATAAATTAAATGTTAAAATCTAAAAATATTTTCATATAATCTCATTAATTTTTTCTAGGAAAAAAATTGAATGCAGTCGTATCTTGAGTTTATCGCATGACTTTAAATTCTGGAATATGTTGCTGTCTTTTATCTAAATTCAGCTTGCCATGGTAAAGCAGAGTATATGAATTATGACAGCCTTTACTCCAAAAAGGTTCGATCAAATTTGTTTACCCTTAAAATTGGATAACAATTAAACTTATAATGTGTTGGTTCTAAAGACACGTGATTTCACTTAATACCAATTGATAAATATGAAGATTAACAATAGAAATAAACTATAAAGTAAAGCAAACCAGTGTTAGAATGGAACTCAGCCCTCAAGTTTGGATACCCTCGAACTGGTTGATGTAAGAACAATCAAAATATAACAAACTGACGAACAATAGTATAAACGAGAAAGAGAATTATATAACTTTGATATCTGTGAACAATGTGTCCTTACAAATCGTTAATACTCCCATTTATATAGTAGAAAAATTCTACTTATGGTATAACTCTAGTTACAGAAGGAAATCCCATGGTTAGCTAATTAACCGTTTCTAATTTGATCCGTTCCGAGATTTCCGCAATGATCTTCGACCAATCACAGATATTTCGCCATTCCGTTATTATGTTATCTTCGATGTTGCTCGATGCCTGTCTTATTCGGTCTCGATCACTGCTGGCCTCGATCTCGACATGTACCTCGAATCCCGAACTTGGTACTTTGTCCTCGTACCTTGGTCTGATCCACTACGGGGCCGACCTTCGATGCAGATCCCTGGTCTCGGTCAGATAAAAAAATTGGGTGGGCTCGGTTTTAACCGTATACAGACAGTCCCCTCATTTTTTGGAGTGTAATGACAAGAAACAAATTAAGCCTTCGATTTTTACCTCGACCTGCCATGACGTCACCGCCGTGACGTAAGCGACGAAAGTGACCAAAACGTCCCGTCGGTACAGTTTTCCAAGTCATTAATGAGTGTCAGTTGGTGGTCGGCCACTAGTTCCTTTGAACCGTCGCCGTGAATCCAATAAATATACCCCTTCCTCAATGATTCAAACTTTACTTTCACTTCCTTCTAATCTCCAAAGCTTTCACATCTCTTAAGTTCTTCCTCTTTACAAATCTTCAGATTTTGTTGTTAATCCTTTCTCAAACGCCAAGTCCTATTATCTTTCTCTCCTTTAAACTTACACAAAAATGGATAAAACATCGAAAACGGTACCACAAAAAGAAGCTGCTACATCTTCCTAACCGGTCGTCGGGAAAACGCCGGTGGAACCCCTTTTTGAGGAATGCATTCCTGAGGGATGCGCGCTAAACTCCAATTTCAAGATCGATAAAGCCTCGTCGATTCCTGGACAATGCGAGCCAGTGTCGAGGTATATATGCTCGATAACTGAGGGATACCTTAAGCAGGTAAAGAAAGACTACAACTAGGAGGGAAAAGAGTTGGTGATCCCGACCCCCGAAGAAGACATCACCACCCATGTGGAAGGGTTTCTAAGTGTTTATACTTACCCTTTCACACTGGGCCCCCTCGACCCCGTCATCGTTAATTTTTGCTGTCAATATCAAATAACTCTAGGCCAAATCCATCCTTCCTTTTGGCGAATTATTATTATGCTCCGATTCTTCATGAGCAAAATCGAGGGGCTCCCTTTCACCCTCGATCACCTTATCAGATTGTATAGCCCCCACCTCTATCGAGGCGGGTTAATAAAACTCCAACGTCGGGCTACCAAAGTGTTATTCTCGAGTATAGACGAGGACAAGGATCGAGGCTGGATGGGTCGGTTCATTCGAGTGAGGACTTCCAACCTAATCCCAGTCGAGAAGATGCCATTTCCTGAGAAATAGAACATGAATCGTATGTACCGTCTCACAGTTAGCTTCCATGTATTATTTATTCCTTTGTCTTTTCTCATCGATGTCATTTTCCATGATATAGCGGTCGCTTGGATGCCCCATGCGATTCCTGACCTCGAGAGCTGGGTTCGGAACCTGGACTTGACCTTTACATATGCTGAGCGCTCATGGAGCGAATTATCAAAGGGCCGATGGGAGTCCAAGACTCATGGTAAGCCCATTTTTTGTGTATTTGATGATTCGATTAAGATGCCCTTCTTCTACTTATTCATTTTTTCTCGTGTACAGGCCTGGGCAAGGGTGCGGTCATGAGGCCCCTATCTAGTGAAGAGGAGACTTCGATCCTGGGACCGAAACTGGCGAAGGACAAAAAGAGGAACAAAACCTTAACCTCCAAGGATCCAGAACCTAAGAAGAAGGCGACTCATAATCCGAAGAAGAACATCATCCTTTTGACCGAAGACTCTATTCAACATCTAAGGGAGGAAGACGAAGAAGAGGAAAAAGACGACTCCGGGCTGATGGCCTGAGTGGGAATGAGCACCGAGGCCCCAAAGGCTATTGAATCGGTGAAGGCTGCAGAGACTCCATCTTAAGACGAGGGGGTCTCGGGAAGAGACTTGGGCGAAGTCCCCGAGTCATCGAGGATTAAAGATTCCTCCTACCATAATGAGCCAACGGTGGGTACGGCTGTAGGGGCTGATCTCGAGGTCTCTCGAGATGGAGAGAACGCCCCAACTGATCCATTTGGGGAAATAGAAATTGGAGGCTCCCCGCTGCTCCCCTCGTTTTCTGAGGAGATGATTCAAGAGGCTCGGGCCTTGAAGACCCCCTCCATAGAAGGAGCACACGGAAGGGAGGACCCCTTCCGTGATTAATTTACTGAGGTCGAAGATGCTACCGGCCTAAGCAACTTGGAGGTCTCGA